AGTGAGGCCTTAAGGAACTTAGTAAGACCCCATCTCAAAAGGGGCTGGGGAGATGGCTCAGTGGTCAAATATCCCTGTGTTCAATCCATAGTATTAAAAACTAAAAACTGTCAGACTAGATATAAAAGATCCAACTATGTGCCAAAAGCAGAAACACTGTAAATATAAATACATATAGGTTGAGAATAAAAATAAATGTTATAATAAACAGTAAGTATAAGAACAGTGGAGTAGTTATATTAATATCACAAATGAAAGCAATATATAGATTACTGTAAGAAACATTCCTTAATGATAAAAAGAACAATACATTACAAACATGTTTAATGTTTTTATATTTATAATGGGAAAGAAGTTAGGAGTAAAAATGCTTCCTCTTCATGAAGCTAAAAAATACACGCAAACTAAGTAAAGTAGAAGAAGGAAAAATAAATAGCAGATATTTTTCACAAAGAAAAAAAAGTAACAATGAAAACCAATAAGGCCCAACATTAATAAAATTGACAAGCCCATAGCAAGACTGATTAAGAACAAAAAGAGACAATACAAAGTACCAATACCATAAATGCAAGAAGATAACACTATTGATCTTACACTCATTAGAAAATATAAGGAAATATTATGAAAACTTAGATGAAATTAATAAATTCTCTAAAATATCCAACTTACCCATTGACATGACTGAAATAACAAAAATGAAGCCCTATATCTGATTTGAATCTGTTATCAAAAACCATTTCATTAAAAAAAAAAATTCTAGAACCAGGCAGATGAATTTGAACAAATATTTAGGAGGGACAATAACTCCAATCTTAAACAACTTTTTAATCAGAAAACTGAAGAGGAGGGACTACTCCCAACTCATTTTTGAGGCCAGAAAACTCTGATTCCAAAACCTGACAAAGACATAACAAGAAAATTACCTACAACGGCTCTGTTAAATATAGATGTTAATTCTTCAACAATCTATTAGCAAATAATGGAAAGGGAACAACTAGAATTATCCACAGGTATTAACATTCATGAGTGAAAGTTTAATGAGGAAGAGTATACTCACACAGCCTTGAGGAAACTCTCCTGTAAAATTGGGCAAATACTGTCTCTATCTATGAAGTCAACAAAATTAACATCCCAAGTATTAGCAGGTCTTGTGCCTCCTGCCATGACACACTGAGAACATATCATTTCTATGACACTCAGTCAGATGGACAGACTGAATCCATTCATTAAGACACATCAGTCAAATCCGGAGACGTTCTACAAAAGAACCAGCCTGTACATATCAATGTCACAAAATTCAAAGACTCAGTAACTGTTCCAAATTGGTAGAAACCAGACCAGATCAGTGGAGACAACTTGACACAATGAGAGATCCTCCACAAATGGCACCGGGATGTGAACTGCAAATGACAGACATTGATTAGCACAATATCAATGCTAAAATTCCCCAAATTTGATCACTGTGCTGTAGTTGTACAAAAATAATTTCCTTTTAGGACATATACACTGAAGTATTTAGATGTAAAGGGGCACAATGTCTCTAACTTACTCTCGAATACTCAGGAAAAAAAATGTGTGTGCATGTGCACGCCCATGTATATGTGCTTAAAGAGAGAAAATGATAACAAATGGAGTAGAACACGAACTACTAGGGAAGTTGGATAAAAGGTACAGGAGTTTGGGTTATTATTCTTGCAACTTTTCTGAAAAATGTTAAAATAAAACAAATGAAAAGTTGCCCTAAAAAAGTTTTTTAAAAAACACTCTCCCAATCTTGCCCCCAAAATAAAAGGGAGTGGCTGGGCACAGTGGCGCACGCCTGTAATCCCAGTGGCTTGGGAGGTGGAGGCAGGAGGATCGCGAGTTCAAAGCCAGCCTCAGAAGTTTAGCGAGGCACTAAGCACTCAGTGAGACCTTGTTCTCTAAATAAAATACAAAATAGGGCTGGGGATGTGGCTGAGTGGTCAAGTGTCCCTGAGTTCAATCCCTGTAACCCCCCAAAAAATTAAAATAAAAGGGAGTGAAGAGGGAAAGGGAAGGGAGGAAGGAAGGGAGGACCTTCTGTCTCTGAAGTCTGCCACTCTCAATGTATACTCAGCACTGCTGCTTTATAGTAGGAAAAGGTCCTGAGTAGGTAACCCACCCATCACTCTATTTGGAATTTGCAGACAAGCAGGCAAGAGAAAAAAAAAAGAGTAATCAGAGCAGGTAGAAGCAGAAACCAGCTCCATAGCACAAAAAAGGAAAAGGCTTGTGTCTTCTAACTTAGGAGGCACATATTTCTGATCTCACTCAGCAAAGTTGTACAGTTACAGCCACAATAAACAGAGACATTAGGCTTCTGTTTCCAGGGTAACAGGCAACTAAAGAGTTCCCAGTACCTCCTTCCACTCCCCTCTGCCACACCCACATGACCTTATTATCACACAGTATAAAACAAAGCAAGAATCATTAAAAGTCAGCACACTGAGTGACAAGAAATGATTTTTCCAGTGGCCTCGGGAACCACGTATATAAAATGATGATCTGCGTTTAGTTTGTTGGAACCAACTACTCTTTATGGCGTATAACCACAGCATACTCTTTAAATAAATGCACAGATAAAAATGAGCTTAAAAACAGGAATGACGACAAAAAATGAGGAAGCCTTAATGTGAAATGCATTGCGAGAGAGAACAGGCTTCTGACAATTAGTTATAATTTCAGAATGCTAATGGCCTCCCTGCAAGCAAGAGGAATTATAATTGGTCTCTGGTGGCCTGTTTATCCTGTCTAGATATAATTACAAGATACAGCTCTTGCCGCCTTGAACCAATCCATTCATCCAACAACTAACATTTATCCAGGACCGACACTGGGCCTTGCACTGTGCTGTGTGTTGATGGTGCAGAGATACCGGGCCCATGTTTGAGGAGTTCCTTGTCTCAAGGGAGAAACAAACAGAGCTCACAACTCAACTGTCGAGTGACAGAAGACAGATATGTACAAACTCTAAAGTCACTAATGCTGCTTGGGGGGTTGAGAAAGACTACATGAGCAAGAAGCAGATAGGAACCCAGGAATCTATCCTCATCCCAGCAGTTTCCTTAGGAGTGAGAAGCCATTCCTCCGAACAGCACTGTTCTCAGTAGGTATGTATTTTCACCTGCACTGTGGCAGTGTTCACGTGGTTGCAAAGACAGCCCTAGACACAGAGGGCACTGGCCCAGCCCAACTTAATTCTTTTCTTCTCGATCACCCTGCAAACCATCAGCTCCCCAAACCACTTCTAAACAGAAACATGCTGGTGCCACAGTGCTGAAGGTCACTCACAGACCAGCTGAATCAGAACCTGCAAAGCACACACGTGACTTCCTTGAATAATGAAACCCACACTCTACCCACAGTGCCATTTCCCAGCTGACAAGAGGTGAGCTCTGTCTCCACCCCACAGTTCCTGGGGGCCCAAGGGGCATGTTCTCTCTGAGGTTCTGGGGAGGAACTAGACCAAGACTCATGAAGGCCATATAGGACACTCCACAGTCTGTTCCTATAGGAGCTCTGGGGAGAAGCTCAGAAACCCTCTAGAAACACTGTGTGGACAAAGGCATGTGCCTGGCCTAGTAGTGGGTAGGGGGTCCAAGGCCATCTCAGTTCTTGCAGCCACAGCTCAAGATTTAAGCCATGATACCAGCAACTCACTTTGAATGAGAAAGAAAATTTATGTGAACTAATTTGTTCTGCAAGTGATTTGTGGAGAGAGCTTCTGAGAGGCCTGTTATATTTTCCAAATGTTTCAAAGAAGAAAAAAGAAGAAGAAGGATATTGCTGACAACAATGGAGCGTTTGGAAACAAAACAAAATAAATATCATGCAAAAATGCCTTTAGCATTATTTTTCATGGTATTATCAGTCCTTAGGGATAAGATATTTGGTTGTGGATCGTAACCTTGGAAACTCACCTAATCAACTTCCAAATGAAGAAGATCTAGTTGGCAAAGTTCACTGCTCAACTGCCAAATACCCCACTAAATGTTATTATCCAGGTTCATTTTGCACAATAAATTTAATTTCTTGTAGAGAAACTTGAAATTTATAAAAGAACCCTGGAGAATTTGAATTTTAACAATCAATTATTCTTCAGGCTGATTCATCTTATAAACATATGGAAGATGCAAAAAATTAAATTAATTTAAAAATCCAGGCCTTTAACACATAGTTGAAGAAAACTTTTACATAAACGAAGAAAAATTGCCAAATGTTCTAATGACACAATATAATATTTTAGCTCTATGGTGTATAATGATTTTGTATTTTGGAAAAGAAAATAATTCCTTTCTCTAATATCATTCTTTACTTAATAAAAGAATAGTTTAAGAAAAGATAGTTTATCTTAATAAAAGATAGTTTAAGAAAACTATCCTCTTTTATTTACTCATAATTAAGGCTCATGATTTTTAAAATCGTTTATGTACAAATTTTTCCTAAAATGCTGAAATAATCCCAAGCTATGCACTTCTGTACTGCACACAGAAAGGGTCATGCCACACAGCAACCTTTGCACTGGTCAATGGAGGAATGGCAGCTTCAGAAACAAGATGGTCCATGACAACCTCCCCTGGAGCCACAGGCCAGGCTGCAGCCTCTGATTTCAGGTTGGTAAAAGCTCCAATGGCTCATCAACTACTGGTCTGCAAATAAAGGCTCCAGCAAGCAGAAAGTCGTAGAGTCACTTAGCAATGGGCTCAGAACTCTTCCAAACCCAAGGGTACCATTTCATTAACTATTAAAGAGAGAAGATACTAGTAGAGAAATTATTACTTTCATCATATGTCTTTAACTGATATGAACACAAACACTCAACAGCATTTCCCACACTGCTATGAACATCTGTTCACATCTGCATCCTTCACAGTGGCTTTTGTGCTTACCTGTCTACTTGAGTTCTTGCCCTACATCATAAATTAGACACAAATTTTTCCTTAACTATCTCAAGTACCACTGAAAATCATCTCACATACCACATGATGTTCCTGCCTTGCAGAAACAAGCCCCAGGATCCAGGCAGGTCAAAGGCTCTGTCTGTGCACTTGAGCATTTCACCCAGCAGAGGTGCTAGGCCCATGCCTCGGCCACCACATCATTTCCATTTCCAGAGCCTTGCCTTCTTAAATGAGGAGTGCTCAAAGGACCACTGCCTCTGCAGCAGGCTCAGGGTTGACCCATGAGCTTCCTGTGACTGAGGCTGAGTCACTGGCCACCTTGGCTACAGGAATGGTGCTGGCCAGAATGAACACATATGTCCCTTCGAGTCCTGCACACGCCAGCATACAGGACAGGCCCAACGGGTTCTTGCAGTCACTACTTGTCAGGTTCAGCTCACAGCTTCTGCTCTCCTCATCAACACTGTCTGGGGCAGACAGCTCCAGCAGAACTGGACACGCTTTGTTTCCAATATCATGACGGAAAAGTAGATCTTGTTCCAGAAGAATCAAGAACACTTCCTGACTGGATCTGCTAACCTAGAAGAGGGAGAAAAGGCAAAGGTGAAATAGTAGCAGAAGACTAGACTCCCAAGCAGGCCCTCCATCTTTGCCCTGGCTGAGCACTCAATGCTCAGTCTCCTGCACTTTCCCTCCTCCTCCCCAGGGCCCCTCGGCTCAGCTGATGCTACCATTCCACCCTCTCAGTCCAAAGCCCCTTCCTCCCTGAACTCCAATTGGGCCAGGTCCTGGTCTACACCAAAACGAGCCTTGCACTCTCCCTCCATGGCTCTTCCCATGTTTCTGCATGGATATACTGACACTGTACACATATATACAGATCTTGACCCACATGACTCATAACTACCACCTGTCTCCCCCACCACAGAGGGTGAACTCAGAGAGCAGGTACCAAGTCTGTCCTCCAGCATAACCTCTAGACCAGCAGTATTGGGCATGACTTTTTTGTTCTATTAGGAACTGTTGAATAAATGGATGATTTAGTGCATTCTCTCCTCTGCAAACATGGAGCTGGAAAACATGGCACCCTCCTCCTGCTGCTTGGTGAATCCTAGAATACACCCCAGACATGAATGACATCTGGTGCAAAAGAACACCACAGGGAAGGGGTTCAAGAAGACACTGGTGTGGAAAAGAAAGACTCCGTAAACAACAGAAGATGAGGGCAGAGGAGCGTCTGTTCTTTGCCATCAGCATTGAGTGAACAAGTACTGGGACTCGGAGGGATTCGAAAAAGGTAGAGAGTCATTTTTAGAGAAATGAAAGCACACAAAATTGCCATTTACAGAGAAAGTAATAAAACACACAACCATCACCATGATGGGGAGGCAGGAAAATAATATCAGGTCACAGAAGTACGCAGACAGAGTCGCAGATGATCAGTCAACAGCAGGTTATAAGAGGGCAAGCCTGCTGGCCACAGAAGGGAGGTGACACCAGTGCTTCTGACCAGCGAGGAAGGAAAACAAGTGTTTCAAGAAGATCATTCTGACAGCGCTATGCTGAGTGAATTGGAGGTAACGAAAGACTGAAGGTGGAAAGGTCAGGAAGACAGCTATTGCAACAACCAGGTGGGAGGAATGAGGCCCGGGCTGGCTGCCAGCAGGAGAAAGGTGATAGCCCACAATATTACCCACACACGGGTGACAGGACTTGGGGGCGGTGAGAAGTGAACGTCCACAACTCTGCGGTGTCACACTCTGATTAAGGGTCTAGCATGTGTTTGGAGCTGAGAACCGGAGAGAAACACAGAAGCAGAGAGAAACCCGCCCTGCATGTGAATTCTCCCTTGGGTGGGGTGGCAGATGAGACCGTGGAGGGAGCCCTGGTACCATGAGAAAAAGAAGACCAAAGACAATCCCATGAAGAAAACCAATCCTTAGGGATGGGCAGAGGACCAAGGGATGGTGACAGAGACAGGAGCAAGGCAAGTTAGGAAGAGGGGGAGGGGCAAGGCGGGGGCACCCAGGAGCCAAGAGGAGATGCTATGACACTGGTGCCGGCTCTGGGTGTTAAGAGGAATGCTGTGTCCCGCCTGTGCTGGACAGCACACCTATGAAGTCACCCTCCACAAGTGACTTGGCCTGTCTAAGAGTCACTGTCTTCATCTGTAAAAATGGATCATAAGGGGGCTGAAGCTGGGGCTCAGTGGTAGGGCACTTGCCTAGCATGCGTGAGGCACTGGGTTCTATCCTCAGCACCACATACATACAAATAAATAAAATAATGGTCTACCAACAACTAAAAAATAATTTTTTTTATAAAAGTGGATCACAGGGGCTGAGGATGTGGCTCAGCTTGCCTGGCATGAATGAGGTCCTTGGTTCAATCCCAAGCTCTGCAAAAAAAAAAAAAAAAAAGAAAGAAATCAAGAAAAAGAATACAGATGTTCCCAGACCCATGATGTGTTTCTGTCCCAATAAATCCATTGTTAAGTTGAAAATATCTTAAAATCAAAAGTGTATTTAATATACCTAACTTACTAAACATAATAGCCTAGCCTCACCTATTTTAAATGTGCTCTGAATACTTACATTAGCCCAAGTTGGGCAAGTTCATCTAACATAAAGTATATTTTATAAAAGTATTGAATATTCCATGTTATTTACTGAATACTCAGAAAGTGAAAAACAAAATTGAGTATGCTTTCACATCGTTGTAAAGTTCAAAAACCTTACACTATTGTTAAGCCGTGGACTGTCAAGCGTGTAGAACCAATTTCAGGGGGCTGTTGTAGGAATGAAAGGACTTAACAAAGAACTGAGAAGAGGGTCTGGGATATAGGACGCCCACATGCACACGGGTGAGTACTAAAGCTACTCTCACCAGAATCCAAAGGAGGGAGGGTCCCAGGGCAAAGCCCCAGGAGAATCAGGGATGTGTCCATCACCCTTCCATCCCACTGCTGAGGTGTAGCAGCATGAAATGCCTAAACAGGCATCCAGTAAAAGTTTCTTCAAAAACTCACAGTGGTGGAGCTGGGGCTGGGGCTCAGTGGGTGAGCACTTGCCTAGCATGTGTGAGGCACTGGATTCAGTCCTTAGCACCATATAAAAAATAAAAAAATAAAACAAAGGCAAAAAAAAATACATTAAAAAAAAGTCATGGGACTGGGGCTGGGGCTCAATGGTAGAGCACTTCTCTCACACATGTGAGGTACTGGGTTTGGTCCTCAGCACCTCATAAAAATAAATAAAGATATTGTGTCCATCTACAACTAAAAAATATTTTTTAAAAATTCACAATAATGAACGGTGACCAATGGCTTCAATGGATCAAGCAAAGAAGAAAAAGAAGTCAAAAAAGGATCATTATCCAGATAAGCAAGTAGAAGGGGGAACCTAACTATAGTGCTAGGAAGCACTTAAAATGGATGACTGGGAGTGCCTCAGATCCACGTGGGCAGACCTAGAGCACAGAGGGAAGCGCAGGCAATGATGCACCTCGCACAGTCCAGTGCCACCTGTGTGAGGTGGTGCAGCACCAAAACTCAAGATGAGAGCTTACTCACCGTCACCAAGTGAATCATCCGTGAGCACCAAGCTGTGAAGGATGGCTGCTTCCTATGGAAGGGAGGGATACAGGGTGCTGTTACCATAGCTGTGACCTCTAAATCAAAGCTGCAGAATGGGTATGTTTGTAGGCATAGCAGTATTCACTGCACAACTGTACAATCCTTCCATGGATGCTTGAATAATTCATGATATATTAAAAATTGAAATTACTTAAAAAAAAAAAAGCACTGGATTTTCCAATGAGCAGACTGGTCAAGTTCATGGCCAGATTCCTATTAATCAGCTTCCAGGAGCATCCTCTGTGATGCAGGAAGTGGACGCCTGAGTGACAACCCAGGCAGAGGAGTTTGGCTACAGGGAGCAGAGTGGGTGGTGTGCTCAGGGTCAAGGCCAGGGAGGAGCAAAGAGAGGAGGGAGACTGGGGCACAATCATGATGGAAAGAGAAAAGCCAATGAGAATGCCAGACAGTGAGCAGGCCAAGTCAGGACGACAGGAGCAGAAAGCCACAGGAAGACACCTGACTGAAGCAGAGCCCACGCCAGCTGAGAAGACACAGCCAAAGGGCAAAGGAGAGCTTGCAGCCAATTCAGCTCCACACACCTTCACTGCAATGTCACCAGGAGCAGACCCTGCACAAGGTCATAGGGGTCAAGACAATGAGATCTACTTCTACAGTCAGGGGCTCAGATTCAGAACATGGAGAGCAGCTTCTAGTTATAGAGCTAGAAGAGCCTCCACCATCCCAAACAGATGACAGGTGAGCCTCAGAAAGCAAGTCCACCACCTAGTACTACCTGACACCCAGAGCTCCATTTGCTAGCATCTCAGTTTCCTTGGCTCTGAGACAACTGTCATTCACCAGGTGCAGACAGCAGGAGAACTAAAGCAGGCCATCTACCCTCGTCCTGGAGCAGTGCTTCTCACTGAGCCATGGCTCAAGAAACTGTCACTGAGCAAGGCTGCAGCGGTCCTCCCGAAACTGGGTCTTGCCCCAGCACTGCCAATGGCATGCCTCGCCTGAGTGCTGGTGTTCATTCAAGGTGATGAACACACTGTCCTGAGAGGCAAGTGCCCAGAAGTACCTGGCAGCCCTACCACTGTGGGCAAAACCATCTTCATCTCTGCAGAGCTAGAATCTTAACTCACCGTGGACCTTTGGGGCATTGCCAGCAGCCCCACAGTTGACGTCTGCAAGGGTAAGCATCTAGCAATGGAAAGCGCAAACTGACAGGAGCAGACAGAAGGAGCACTGGGAAGAGCAGGCAGGTTCAGAGGATGAGGTCCTGAGAGGGCTGATGGCAGGAAGGCACAGGCATCCCACAAAGGAGTATGTGCTATGCCAAGGGGCAGGAGGGCTTCAGAGTGTTCAGTAAGGCTAGTTTTCTCCCAGCTTTGGGTTTAAAAATGGTGGGAATGGAGAGGAGGGATACCCTCAGGATTATGTATTTATGATAGAATCAAAGATGATGTGGCTTGAGTCTAACTGGATGTAGGAGGAGAGAGGGAAGAATTTTGATGGCTCCCAGGTTGCAGCTCAGGGGAATTGAAAAAGCAGATAGTGGATCCATTCTTTGCAATAGGGGATGAAGATTGAAGGCCTCTATTTTCTCAGTGATGTAAAAGGCAAGGTCACCTGCCTGGCGGAGGCAGGATGAGGTGAGGGGCCTGATGAAAGTGGCAAAGGTCTAAGAAAGCTGCCAAGGATAATGTGAAAAGCAGCTGATGAGGGACAAGGAAAGGATTGCCACACCACGCTGCAAGTCCAGCCACGATTGGAAGCCATAAATTTGCAATGGCACCAATCAATGCATGATGGGACTCCCTCCCATGGAGATCAACAACCAGCAGTAGAGAACACAGGGGGATGGGACTGTGCAGGCAGGACCAGGGAAGCACTGTCAAAAGGGAAAAAAAAATGGAGGTGGTGGCAGGGATGGGCCCAAAAGGGTGGGATGACAGAGGAAGCAGCTGAGGAAGAACAGAAAGGATATGCAGGTAAGGAT